AGTGAGCGAGCATATGTATAACAAGTATCTTCCCCTGACCGAAAGCGTGGTCATGTGCAAGTATTCGCGTATCTTTTAATTACCAAAGCAAAACTAAAATATCGCAACCAATGAACGCTGCTTCCATTTTTATACGCAAGCCGCCCTTTGGAGAACATTTATTTTGTATAATGCCATTTCAACTAGGCACGAACGAGGTAAAAGTGTGGCCAAATCAGTCAGGTTGATGCAAGTTACTTGTTCATCTTACCGATACCTGAAGCTGTTTACAAAGTCGAATTTGGAGTTCCTTAATATCATCGTCGATGCCCTTACGCCAGGGCCCAAATGCAACTTCAGTCTCCTCAAACACAATCCCCTTTTTCAGCTATTCTATTTTCTCTTGCCAAGAATTATGAGCTTTTAATGTTTGCTTGCATGCTTTTGGCAAAATTTTGCTGAATTATCGTCCCAATTACGCCTGTGGTGCCTTCTGGTCCTATCAGCACTGTTTCATCTATTAATCAACACACTGCTGCTTTATTTGCACCACAAATATGCAGGGATTTATGGCGTTTGAAGACAGTTACGAGCGATCTTAAAAAACCTTTGTAAAAAATGAGAAATTTACAAGGTGGAACTGTCTCTTGCTTATCAATAGCACTCTCTGCATTCGGGTCGATCGGTAAAAGTAGTCTCCGCCAGCACCGCCACCATAAAGAGGTGAGCATAATAATCAGTAGCAATGCAATATTTCGTCAAATTACATTTTTAGCGGCGGAATACCTACAAAGATAAAATTAGAGAGAAAGGCAGCAAAAACATAACTTTAGCTGGTTGGTGTGCGGACTGAACTGTATCCGCACGACTCGACTGTTAAAAGTTTTATTGAGGTGAGATCGCTTTTTAAGCCTCATTTAACATAATCATGAGTGGAAGCGGTTGCTTTCACTGAGTGCTTTACATGCACGTAGATTTGATCGCATCGTCGAGTCCTATTGAGCGCACTGAATCGTCTCTTCCAACATGTGCCCGTTCATTACAAAAGTCTATCTCTACCGTGAACGGATACTTGCTCATCGCTTTTTCAAGTTAAACTAAATTCTGCCTCTTCTCACACCATCTTCCGCTACAGAGAAATAAGTTTCAAAAGTCTGCAAATCTCTCTCAATTTAAGTGTCACTTCAACAAGACAGCTTTTGCTTCTCTTCACGATTGCCGGAATGCACGTTTGCGTTTGGATGCTCTACCAGGCGTCATTCTCCCCTCTAACTAAATTGTTCTTTACACTTTTAAAACACATCTCATTACACCTACCTGTTGGCTGGATCCTGCTGTTTCTTTGGGCAATCATCTGTCGACTGAGGTTAAGTCTAGCATTAAATTTTAGTGAAAGGACTGTTCGTTTCACGTTCCATTTCTCTGCTATTCTTAATCCTTTTTAGATTGGAACATTCAAGTATGCAACAACAAAAAGCAAAGCATAACTGTTCGCCTGGTTACCTCATTACTTTCTCCAATGCATGCATTACTTGAGATGAACATCCTTAGCCTGGTCCTTCTTGTATTACACTTCAGTAGCTTCTATTTGGGTGCAAAAGTAAGGTTTGCATGAGAATGTGATACAGGGAGATAGAAATCAGTCAGTACTTCTGAGGTGTTGGATTTGACTTGGATGTCGTCACTAAAAAGAAGTGATGGTAGTGATACAGGGCCATTTTCATTGACAGCTTTTTCCTGTTTCATGCTTGTGCTAGTGTCACTTGTGGGTCTAACCTTGCAAAACATCTCGCACCGTTTTCCCAGTGGCAGTTTGTCGTTTCACTTAAGAGAGACGCACATTCACATGTACAAGCATAATAAACGTGTATGTTTTACCTTCGTAACACCACTTTTGTCAATCCATTGACTTGCGCTTCACTACAACGACTGCGTTTGCACATCTGAAATGTCTCCTCATTCGGCTGTCGCAGTGGCGCTGAACAATGCCCTTTACGTCTTTGCATTTGACAACCTCACTAGAATGCCGAAAACTGCTTCCCGACCAATTTGATGCACACGTTGTCTCCAAATTGTGAGCATTTTATTAATCCATCTAATTTTTGAAGTCCTTAACTCCTTTATATCTGAGAAGGCGAAAAGAAGTAATGGCTGAAGTGAATCCCTATGAATTTGCAGACCGCTAACATTGAAGTCCTTCTTACCAAATGTCTTAATTAAGGCACATCTTTGGAAGGCAAATGCTTTGCCATGTAACCCAAAAGTCATGCGCTAATTCGAATGCTTGTAATGCCTGTAATCGTTGTGCTGGATGTTGGGATCAAGACAATAAGAGTGTTGACTGAAGTAGGCCAACTTCAAAGTAAAAGCGGCCTTAAAGCCCAAAAGTCGACAAGGTCTATAATTTTAAAAAGGCAAAGCACGTTTCGTAATAAGCTAGGTATTAATGCAAATTGATGGTTGTATATGTAGGTGTATATTTGCTTTAAACCGCCCCTGCTAGAAACGTAATCACTTCAATCAAAGTCCTCAGTCTTTCGATTGTCCATCTTACTAAGAAATTACCTGGTTTGACCTACGAATGGACCTACAGCACACGCTGAAATGCACTCCACTTTTGTTGAAGGAACATAATAGTTGTGTCAGCTAAGGTGTGCGGTAATAACGGCAGCCGCTTCCTCACTCATGGAAATTGAAAAGTGCGAATTCTACGTAATGATGGGACTGGAGCGCTCTGAGACTTCAACGGGAAGCCGGCCCGTCTATCAATGGCCCAGTAATGGTGCACCAACACGGTCTCAATTGAAACGTATTACATCCGCCTTCTCCATTCTGGAGCGCTCTCTCCAGTACTCCATTTTACCAATTTCCCACGTCAGCCATTAAGTCTCCTGCACTACAAGCCATCTACCTTCTGTGTCTGGATCCAGTTTAGAAGATGCTTGGTCTATGCGCTTCTCTCTTTGGAGAAGGACTTTTCACTCAGCGGCCGAGACTGTGATTGGCTAAGATTGCGTTTCTTCTTACTATTACCAGTGCAACACCTTGAGACTTCTCTGAAGATGAGGGACAATATAGAGCTTTGGTTGGATGTGCATTGCCAATGAACAGAAGGACTGAGCCGCTACTGGTTTGACGAGAAACCATGCAGTTCAGAGGGCAGTATGATGGCTTACCTCGTAGAACTTGCAAGCCACGAAACTGATGCAAGGAGTCAAACAAACGGCCGAAGTGTTGCATTGCGCGAAATAAGGGGCCCACACTGTATCAGACTGTAGGTCTAACAGAATTGGCTGCTTGTTCATCCTATTTGAATTTATAGCATACCGGAAAATTTGTTACAGAGAATTAAAGATGCAGATCATGCATCTATGCGTCATTCTTACCGTCTAGTAAAATATTATTTGAACAATTCCTTAAGCATACGTACTTGAAATTGAACCACTGATTGTAAATACACTTTTCACACTTACACGCAATGTTAATGTACTTTAAAGTCATCCAGATGTCAACTGATAGCGACTATGGCTGGCAGCGAGGAAAAGTTGTTATTTGGTTGGCTATTATGA